GAGCAAATACCAAAGGAAGGTTTACAGGGATACTCTATAAAAACTGATGTAATTTCCAAACAAAAAGGGCACTTCACTTCCTTTAAAAGGAACTACAAAGTCAAAGATGAGCTGGAAACCCAGGACTGTGAAGTCCATCACTTCATCCTGGAAGTCCCAACAGTTATTGCTAACAGTAGCTGGAAACTTTAATTTGCTCCTAAGGTGGCAAAACACAAAGTTCCCTCTAAGACTTTAAAATATCTGAAATAATTTGAAACTATCAGCCCATCAATTGGGAGATGTTGATGAACAAATCTTTGCTGCTGCCATCAGCAGGTACCCCCAGGTTCATGGTCAGCACAGCTCACCATCATCCAGGTGATCTACACACCAAGGAAGAACCTAAAAACTGATTTTCCTCTCTAAATGCCAACAAAAAACTCAAGAGCATGACCAGAGCCTTGGTCACAGCCTTCCCTTGGTTGCCGGGAGGATTTATCCCAAAATCTTTAGAGTATGGATACACCAAGTAACACTCCTGACAGTGTATTGTCTTTACAGCCCCATGAGGCCATTTTTGTAACAAATCTGTAGAAAAAAGCTAAAACCAAAAGCATCTTTCTTTTCCTCACAGGGAGTCAGCTCCAAACGCCCAAAGAGGAAACCTGGATCTGCCTGGGAGGCAAAGAGGCAGGAGGCAGCAGGGCATGTACAAAAGTTGAGCAGCTTCACCTGTAAGAAGTGACATCCCTTCACCAGAGCCTGAAAAAATGTTTCCATTACAACAACCACAAATTGATACAGAACTCTGGTGTTTGGGCATTTTTTTGCTCCAAATGAAGCTGAGACCTGCTCCAAGGGCAGACTTGCCTATCAAAGACTCCAACGTGCTCTTGAAAAATAAAACATTTTAGAATATATATAAAATGAAAGTTTTGGCATTTGTTCATTGATCAACATCCAAAGAACAATTCTCAGGTCAGCAGAAGTTTGTCAGAAATGAGCCAACCCCTGACACAGGGGCTGTTCCCAATCCCGACACCCAGGAGGTGCTCAGAGTGCCTTCCAGTCAATGGGCTTCTTCCCGTATTTCTTGAGGAATTCATTTGTCTTGGAGAAGTGCCGGCAGCCGAAAAACCCTCTGTTGACCGAGAGGGGCGAGGGATGAACCGTCTGCAGGACATGGTGGCGCTTCTGCGAACGTTGGAGGAAACCGCCCGTTAGATTTGCATGTTTTTGGCTGCTCCTGCCCCGGGCAGATGTGATTTCCTGCCCTGGGCAGATGTGATTTCCCCTCCACTCCTCCTCCTGCACCACCCAAATGTGACTTCCCCTCTACATCTCCTCCAATACCAGCCTGACACCAAAGAACCAGCCATAAAGGCTGAGACTTCTGTCCCACTGAGCAGAGATGGACCATGTAAAGAAGCAATGCCCCAGTCGTTTTCCAATAGCAAATTTCACACTGATTCATGAGCCTTTTCCTAGGAAAAACAGCTCTGTCCCCATTGGGACACTTCGCTAACAACAGGAGGTTACACTTGCTCCAGTTCGCTTGCTCAATTCTGGAAAAGGCTAAAATGGAGCAGAAGGGTCACTCAATTCACAGAATTCAGGCAGGCAAAATTCCCAGTCCCGTAAGGAAAGTGCCCTCTAGTGTCCACCAAACTGAGGGAAAATCAGGGAAAGGCTGTACCCTGTCGATGGAGCTGCCTTTCCTCTGGGCATAGGCTCCCCACAGCATGAACACGAGCCCGTTCAGGTTCTTGTTGAGCCAGGACACCACGACATCCGTGAACTGCTCCCAGCCCCGCTCCCTGTGGGATGTGGCCTGGTGAGCCCTCACAGTGAGCACAGCGTTGAGCAGGAGCACTCCTGGGAAATACACCACATGGACAGGAGAGGAAACAAGAAATCAAGTGTTAATCCAGCCCTGGAATTGTCCAAGGCCAAGCTGGATGGAAGCAAGGTGCTGATGACACTGAGCTGTATTGTGGTGTCACATCCTGCAGGGAAGGGATGGATCCATAGGGACCTAGAAGACTGGAAAGGTGGGAAGATGGGGCTGGCAGATGTTGCCCAGAGAAGCTGTGATTGCCCCACCCGTGGAAGTGTCCAAGGTCAGGCTGGATGGGGCTTGGAGCAACCTGGGATAGTGGAAGGTGTCCCTGCCCATGGGAGGGGGAACAAGATGAGCTTTAAATCCCTTCCAACCCAAACCATTCCAGGATTTTATAATTCTAACTGCTTTTTCCAGTTTCCCTTCAGAAACAAATTCAATTTTCATTCTAAGGGACCTGCCAAACAACAGTTACTCAGAACTGATTTTCTGTCCTACAAATGGATTATTTCCAGACACAGGTCTGTTTTCTAGACTGGCTTTTGTTCTGCTCCACAGTGACCAGATCACTGAGTGTCTCTGAGCTCACCTTGCTTGGCCCAGCCTGTCAGATCCCCATGGCCAGGATGAGTGAAGCCCTCGATGTCTGTAGAGAGCTCCCTGTAAATATTTTCTAAACTGCAAACAAAAAACACCATAATTTTTTTTTATATTCATATTTAAAGACAAGACCAAGCAGCACCACTTATTGCTCTCACATCAGGCAAGAAGGTATTGATTTTAATCTTATTATTTAAGATAATAAAGCCATTTGTAGAGGCAGGGCAGCGAGGACTCCCTTTGTGTGTCTGGCTGGAATCTTAATGAGGTCTCAGCACAACTGGAAATGCAAACTTACATCCAGAATATCACCAAATCATACAGAATTACCCATATTTTGCAGTGATGTTTTTTTCCAGTCAATGCACAATTCAAATTTAAGTAGTTGCACAATTCTTCACATCAATTTTCTGGCTCCCAGCCCTGAGCAACACAGAACTGCAAATAATTTGTGACCAAAAGGGATTTTGCTAATTGTCCTACCTGGGGGGAGGTGGAACAGGCTTCTGGACACTGAAGCAGAGCCCATGAGCTTGGTTAGGGCCATGGTATGGATCTTGTCCCAGAATTACAACCTTCACCTGAAAGCAGACCTTGGTTAGGACTGAATTGAAATCAGCTTTATTCCCAAAAGAGTAGGAAAAAAAAGGCTTATAAAAGAGCTTTAACCTAAAAGAGAGACAAAAAAGGCCCACACCAAACCCAGGAACTGAAGTTAATCCCAGACACCTCATTATTAACAAGTCGAAGAGCACAGACTCCACCTAACGTGAAGGATTAACATCACCACAGCTTTACTGCTAAAATTATGAATACAATTAATATGATTTGAGTGTAGAAGACCAACATTTTCAGAGCCACAATACAACACCTTGTTGAAATAGTTTCCAAATAGGTTTCACCCTATTTTAGCTTTGTGCCACATTTACTGTGATATTTTTGACACAGTTTATTGGAAGTTACATTATCTTATGGTGTCTTCTTTTAATTATAGTTCATTACAGATCAATTAAAAGAACAAAGGACGTACAAGATCCAAAAACTATGAAGTAGATAAAGCTGGTAAGACTAGAAAAAGATCAAAAGTGCAACTATGCGTTCAAAGGAAATTCTGTGGCCTGTGTGGGTAATAAAACAATAAAACCCTGTTATGGTATCAGAGATGAAAGGGAAGGCAGAATTTGTGAGTTAGGTGAGACAAACAACAACATCCACATCCCGTGGGACTGAAGTTTAAGGGATAAAACACTGAATTAACGTGCTTGGGCACCCAACCTGCATTTTCATGGTGAGAGACCCCGAATCCCCCTCCCCAGCCCCTGCAGCTCCACTCACATCCCAAATGTCGCACATCTGCGTCCAGGTGAAGACCTGCTCGGGGGGCGGATACACCGTGTAGCGCTTCCTCTCCTCGGCCACGAACGCCATGAGCTGCGGGGGCAAAGGAGGGCTCAGCGGGGGCCGAGGGGGCGCAGCGCCCGCTCGGGGAGGGGCACGGGGGCCGTTCACTCACCTCCACGAAGTATGGCTTGGAGAACTCCCCGGCCAGCTGCCGCCGCCAGCTGTCCGCGAAGCCCGGCGGCACGTTCCGCTGCGCCAGCAGCTGCCGCGCCGCCTCCTTGTTCCTGCGGATGCGCTCCCGCTGCTCCTCGCTCAGCGACGCCGCCGCGCCCGCCTCGTCTCCCGACGCCTTCGCCTTCTTGGCGGCGCTCTCCTGGAAGCAGCGGGCGCGAAAGAGTGGGAAGATGCGGGAGAGCAGCGGGCGCGGCCGGAGCCGCGAAATCAGCACGGCCATGGCTGGACAAGCCCCGCCCCGGGGCGGCCCCGCCGCACGCGGAGCGCTCGCGGCAAAACACCGAGCGCGCCCCCATTGGCCGCCGAGCCGCGCGCGCCCCGCCCGCAGGCGCGAGACAAAAACGCCCGCTCGCTATTGGCCAGCGGAAAAGCGCCCTCCCCTTTCTATTGGCTCGCCAGGCGGGCAGAGAGGTTTTCTACCCAGCAATCGTGACGACAGTGCGCCTCTCACCGCCCATTGGGCGGCGGCGGAGCGTGGCCGCTTGACTGGCAGCTCAGTCGCGCGTGCAGCCGCGCGGGAATTTGGAAGCGGTGTTTACTCCCCATACCTCCCTCACAAAAGACCGCCAGAACCCCCCAGACATAAATACACACACACACACTGCCAGACACACATACGCCGCTGCCAAACTCCTATCCCTTCTCCCCCCTCTCCAGACCCCCCGGCTCCCTCAGCCCCCCGCTCGCTACCTCAGCATCTCCTCCCGGCTCCGGGGAGCGGCCGCGCTTCTTGGGCGGCGCGGGGCTGAAGAAGCAGTGCAGCGTCCTCTGGCCTATCATGGCAGCGGCGGAGCGAGACAGGGAGGGAGGCAGCGAATGAATGACTGAGTGAGGGGCGGCAGCGGCGGCTCCAGCGGAGGGGGAGCGGGACGGCGGTTTGGCGCCAAAACAGCGCGCGTGCGCTGGGGGGCGGGGCCGGCCGGGGCAGGGGGCGGGGCCAATCGCGGCCCGCGGGTCCCGCTCCCCCCGTCCGTCCCTCGGGCCGTCGCTCCCGGTGCCGCCCATGGACGGGTTCGTGGTTAAGGTGCCCCGCAGGCAGGCGGGGGGCGGTGGCGGGCAGGGGCGGCGGCCCGAGGAGGCCGGGCCGGGCCGGCCCCCCCCGCGGCAGATCCGCGCCGAGGGGCTGCGCTGTGACTATCGCATCCTCTTCCCCAAGGCCGAGGCCGACGAGATCTTCCAGCAGCTGGAGGAGGAGGTGCAGTATTTCGAAGGTAACCTCCTGCCTTGTGGGGGAGCCTGAGCTGCCCAGGGAGGCTCCGGAGGCTCCGTCCCTGGGAATGTTCCCAGGGAGCCTGGACAGTGTTCTGGGAGACGTGAGGGTGGCCTGGATGAGCTCCAGTGCTCCCTTCCAACCTGAGCCCTTCTGTGTCCAGCTCTGGGCCCCCCTCACGTCCCCCTACCCTGCCCAGGGAAGCATTTCCCTGCCCAGCCCAGCCAAGGTGAGTCCCAGAGCGATCCCAGGGCCTGGGCACAGCTGGGGAGGGTTCTGCAGGCACCTGGTGTTGGCATAGTCTGGCCCTTAGAAGCCGAGAACACAGGTGTGACCCTGCAGGGTTGGATTTGCTCCGCTGGAAGTGTTTGTCAGGTGGTTTCAGTGACTTTTAAGAGAACTGGGACAAGCCTGATGCAATGGCTGGAGTTTGTTGGAAGAGGCAATTTATGAAATATGTCCTGTTACATTAATTCAACGGCAGAATGTGATGGGGATGTTGGTTCTGTTTATCCCATTTAAGGAGGATAACAAGGCAGTGTCCACCTTTGTCGGGACAGAAACACAGGGAACAGGGATGACAGCTTGTGGGTTATCATAAGCATCCTCATTTCTCTTGTCTGGAGATTCCCAGAAGCTTCAGATCCAGGAGAATGTAGGACTGTGCAGAGGTAGCACAGACTTGGGTTTGGTTTTGATCCTCCTCGTTTCTTGTTTGAACAGATGACCTGACAAAATTGCACATATTTGGCACATGGCACAACATCCCAAGGAAGCTGGTGACCTACGGAGACCCTGAGTTGTCCTACACTTACTCAGGTGTGACCTTCCATCCCAAGCCATGGATCCCAGTCCTGAACCGCATCCGGGAGCGAATCACTCTGGCCACAGGACACACCTTTAACTTTGTCCTTATCAACAGGTACAGCTGGTTCCCACTTGCATCAAGCAGCTTGTGGTTCAAATGAAATGAAAAAAGCTTGTGCAGCACTTGGCAAACGGCTGAGGGGTTGACATTCACTTAATTGGGTTGGTGGAACTAATGAATGTGCTCTGTGCACAGGTACAAAGACGGCCTGGACCACATCGGGGAGCACCGAGATGATGAGAGCGAGCTGGTTCCCCGCAGTCCCATTGCATCCGTGTCCTTTGGAGCATGCAGGGATTTCATCTTCCGGCACAGGGATTGCAGGAGGAAGGGGCTGAAACGGGGCCTGGAGCGGATCAAGCTGGAGCTGGCCCACGGCAGCCTCCTCATGATGAACCACCCCACCAACGTGTACTGGTACCACAGCCTGCCCCCCAGGAGGAGGGTCATCACCCCCAGGGTCAACCTCACCTTCAGGAAAGTCATGGCTGGGGACAGAAAGAGAAATATCCACCCATCAGGGACTTCTGACTGAAAACAGAAGCTTTAGTTCCTGGTAGACCTGTTGGTTCCTCATTCAAACACTGGCTGTGGTGATCCAAGGGACTGGATGAGCAAACTGAACTGAGAGACAGTGGACTTGGTAATTGCTAATAAAGCCTGTGACCACCGATCTCGATGCCAAGATGGCTTTCCCTCTGTGAAATGCTGCTGATAAATATTTTTGGTAAATAATACCTTTGTTTTGCTCAGGAGGAAGTTTGTTCTCAGCTGATCTTAATCTAATTAGTGCTCCTAAAAAATCAAAATACTCCATAGCCTCGAGTTACAGTTTACAAACACTATAAAGCACAAGCTGTAATCATTTAAAGCTGATACTCTTTAGCAGGTGACACTTTCCTGTATTCTCTCTCAATGAGCTTTAGATTGTTTTGTTTTTTATTTAAATAAAGTACAAATAAGACTGACATGGAGGAGTGCTGAGGTGTGAGCACAGTGAGTGCAGTGTGACTGGCTGAGTGTTTCAGTCACTGTGACTCTTGTCTGCTTGAATTCCTCTGTTGCTGGAGGGTCTTCCTTGTGCTCAAGGAAGCCCAGGGGTCTCTCCTTCCTCAGGTCCTTTGTACCAAAACCAGGCAGCAAAAAATGACCTTTTGGGGAAGAACTGGGCTGGACCATTTCCATGGACCTAAATAATTATCCCTAGGGAGCCCATCCCGACTCCCTGAAAACCATCCCCTTCCATGCTCACAGGGAAGCTGCTGGAATGAGGGAAGCCTGTCCAGGCAGCAACAGGTCTTGAGGAATCAAGTAATGGTAAGTTCTGAGTGAGAACGGAAACCAAACCCTGTGTTAACTCTGGAATTAGGGGTGGGCTCTGGCCTTCAGTGGTGGCTCCATTATGTTTCAAGACATTCCCACACATAATTTTAATTTCAATTCCCACACAGGTGATTTTTGTAATAAGTCTGGGTTTTTATTGCTACTGTACAGTTACAAAAATACCCTGAAGTGAAAACGCAACTTCAAACAGCAGTGCAGTGGTTTGACCAGAATATACATTTTTAAATAACACGCAAAATGAGACAAGGATAACCCAAACACACAGATGGCATCTTGGAGGTCTTAATTATTTTTTTTACATTTTATTAACAACTTCTCCACCATGGCAGCTTGTGACAAGTAACAGCATTTGAGCCTCGTGCCTCCACAGAGCCCTATGACCTCAAAGGGGAGAGTTGGCTCACAAACACCTTCACAGAGTCCTGTGAGCTCCAAGAGTCCTTCACAGCCCTCCTGTGAGGGCTGGCTGGAAAACACGGATCCCAGTGACCTCCAAGGGGAGGGTTGGCTCACAAACCCCTGCCCAGGTCTGATGCTCACAGTGGGCTGTGGGAGGATCTTGCACAGCTCAGGACTATGACTGAGGTGCTGATATTTGCTCCATCTCCTCCTTCCTAACAGAGAAAGCTGGATCAAATGCTGACTACTCATCCCTCCCCTTGATAGCCCTTGAGGGAGCTTCCAGAGTCAACTCACAGCCAAGGCAAATGCAGCTCTTTGCAAGAGAAAATACATGGGCTGTGCAGTAAGAAGTGACTTTATGTCCCTGTCCTGACAAATTCAAGACAGCCCACACTGTGCGTATCCTCTGCCCCACCTCCAGCTTGACTGTGTTCTAAACCAAACGTCTGCTCAGCTGGACTCCAAAATGCAGATAAAACCTCTAAACAGAGTGTTGAGAGTGGATACTGCAGGGTACACGCTGCTGGCAGTGGAAATGGTTGGAGTTCTGAGGTACAATGGTTGATCTGCTGGAGGGAGAGGTTTTGTGTGATGGTTTTAGATGATCCCCTGCACTGCTTCACAGAGCTCCTGCTGCACCCCAGTGCTTCCAGTATGGAGGGCTGGCTCCTTCTCCAGCTCTCTCAGCTCTCACTTCAGTGGCCAGGGCATTTTTTTTGGCATTATGCATTCTTCAAGATTATTTTTGTTTGCTTTCTTGTTGTTTTTCTATAACTTAAAACAGGTTAAAACCAAGCTACTCTAGCCTAGCACAGCCAGGGAGACCTCCCAGGAACTAGTACAGCAGTGGATTTATCACTATTTATGTACTATGAGCATTAGCTGGAACAGGAATTGTGCTCCATACTCTGGAATGATGAGTTGTGTAAATAGTTTTGCATATCCATCCATTACCACTCCTGCTTTGGCTGGTTTGGAGCCTCCTATGTGGAACTCCAAACACCTCCGAGCTTTGGGCAGCAATATGAACACATGAGGTACAAAGTTGCCCTAAAAAACTATTAAGACAGTTGTTATTTGAAAACTTAAGCTGCTGTTTCACACTGAAAAAGTTTTGATGAGTGGTTTTCTCCTCCAAGCTTACAAGGATAGAAAAGAGCTAAAAATAACCTACATACTTTATTCCTGGTGGTTGACAAGCAGGAGAATTTTAAAGGAGAATTTTTGCTGCTTCTCCTTCCTTGCTTTGTTTGGGATTTTATTTTTTTGCACATCAGTCTAGAGCAGCAGAATTCACCTTACTTCTATTTACAGGCCAGCCTGGGGCTGGTGCAGTGACACCAGTGTTCCCAGACTGGCTTCACAAGACCAGTAAGTGCCTACCAGTGCTGATCCTATTGTTGATATTCCACTTAACAAAGACAAGGGCTCAGCTCAGCTCCCACTCCCAGCCAGTCCAAGCCCAGTCCAGTGGTGGGAAATGGCAGCTTCCAGCACTAAAATGGGAAGGGCAAGTCTAGAACACTTCCAGCAGCTTGGAAATCACAGCATTAAAATTGTAGTCGATGCTACAAGCAATGGTATTCAACAGCGCTGAAGGAAATGACAATACTGATCACTAGCAACCACGTCTGTGTGCTGATTCCAGCTATATTCCAAAGAGAGGGAGCAATAAATTAAGTTTTCAGCTCTTAATAGAGAAAAAAATTATCTCCTGGGAAAAGGAAACTGCCCTTTGAATCAGCAGAAGGACTTCTATGATGTATAAATAACTAAAGTAGTGAGGAAAATTATGTGAACAGGGAAACTTTTGGATTGTGGCTGTTTGTGGAGATGCCTGACTTGACAGATTGATTAGCTGGGATATCAAGGGAAATCTGATTCCACTAGTTCATCCCATGGTGGTGGGGCATTCCCGGGACACACTGGACATGCAGTGGGCTCAGACAGTGGCAATGCAGCTGTTCAAGGAAGCTCAAGGCACTTGGTTTCTTAGATCATTGCCTTTGCCAACAGCAGCTTCCCACCAACAACAGCCCCTCCCAGGGCTCCCCCTTCCGGAACACCTGCAGTGAAATGTGGAGGACTGAGCATCTCCCTTGGAAAACTGCCATGTCAGGGCATGGGACACAGCCTTGGGAAGCCTGAGATGACAAGAATCACCGACACAACAAACGCTTCTCTAACACACGCACACTTTGGGGCCGCACGGCTTCGGGCGGCGACTTTTGGTACAAAACACAACTCCCGGGGAAGGGGAACCTCGGATGGGGGGGGTTTGCAGAGCAGGTGCCACGTGGAGCTGGGAGGAGTCTGAGCGAGTCGTAGTCCCGCCTTTGGGCAGCCGCTGTCCCGCGGTCACTCCTCGGGGCCGCGCTGCGGGGCACGGCCGTGGACGCGCTCGTAGAACAGCAGGTACGCGCTGGCCGCCAGCACCTCCTGCAGGCTGGCCCTGCGCACGGAGTCATCCGACACCCAGAGCCACTGCCCGGGCACCGCCAGGGCCCCCCGCGGGCTCGGCGAGCGCCGGTAGGTCACGAAGTGCCCCGAGTGCATGTCCCCGTGGTGCACCACCACCGCCATCAGCCGGTACAGGTACAGCGGGGCGCTGCGGGGAGCACAGCGTCAGCACGGGGAAAACACACACCACGGCACCCCCTAACTGCTTTTGGAACAAAGATGTGGCTCCACAGGTGGAATTCCAGCACAAGTTGTGGCTGCCCCACCCGTGGAAATGTTCAAGGACAGGGCCTGGAGAAACCTGGGCTAGTGGGAGGTGTCCCTGTGCAAAGCAAGGGGTGGGACTAAATGAGCTTTAAAGGTCCCTTCCCACCTAAACGATTCTGGGATTCTGCAAAAAAGGATTATCAGGAGGAGCCTCAAGGCTGATTTACCAAGTACAACCATGGCAGGTGCAGCTGAAATCAAGCTCGTTAAATACAGTGTTTGAAAGAAATGTATGAGAGATCCCGAGCTTGTTAAATGTTTGAAAGAAATCTAGAAAAGATCTCCAGCTTGTTAACTGTTTGAAGGAAATCTAGAAAAGATCTCCAGCTTGTTAAATGTTTGAAGGAAATCTAGAAAAGATCTCCAGCTTGTTAAATGTTTGAAGGAAATCTAGAAAAGATCTCCAGCTTGTTAAATGTTTGAAGGAAATCTAGAAAAGATCTCCAGCTTGTTAAATGTTTGAAGGAAATCTAGAAGAGATCTATAGGAGAGAAGAAAACTACTAAAAATCAGCCAAGAGGCAAGGGCAGGAGCTGGGACTGATGTTAAATTCTGTGCTTGTGCAGCCTCATGACAAAGACAGACTAAATGAAGACAATTTGAAGGACAGACAGGGTACAAATCTCTAACTTACCTGCACTCAGGGAATGCAGCAAGTGGAAAAGTTCCTGGGGACATTAAAAACGAGGAGGAGGAGGAGGCACCATTCATGAAGAGTGGTTTGGTACCAGGGGTTTGTTCTGCTTCTGCCAGAGGAAGGAGAGAGTCAGTGATTTAACTTAAATGCTACTGTTATATTGCTAATAACAGCACTTATGATAATGTATTTTACTTATTCTAATTCTTTACACATCACACTCCCTTCCAGATCCAGAGGACTGCAATATCCAAGCACAGCAGTGATTGTTTTTACATGACAAATATAAAAATTACCACGTTTACAAAATCCCAACTGAACGGATTATTGAGCTGCCTAAAGGACAGCCCTACTACAGCTGGATTTTACAACTGTTTTCCCAGAATTCACCATTCCCACCACTCCTTCTCTGCTTGTCCTGGAGCCTTAGAACAGACCACTAACAAGAAAAATCCAGGCACATTCCAAATTCAACATTCCTTCATCCTCTGAACATAAAACACATGAGTTCTCTGCTATCTTTTATAATGTTTTCTGATTTTTTAAATATTTAGTAGGATAAAATTAAATGATCAAAACTGAACTGTAGCTTTGGAACAGTGGCTGGGAAAGGGATTTCTCCTTGCCCTCTTTGCACAGATCCACGATAAGATGCTGCTCTTGTGTGCATTCTGCACATCAGAATGTTTTCTCAGTGAAATGTAGAAATACTTGATATATTTTATTGGCAGAGTACCTGGAGATTTCACTGCTGTCCCATCCTTTGTTCCAGGGGTCTCCTCTGGGGTTTTGTGGCTGGATTTTTGCACAGGAACTCGGTATTTGTAGATGTCCATGACCAGGAACTCATTGAACTGG